GCTGCCACGCGTTTTAGCGTCCAGAAGTGCGGGGCAGCTTAGGTGTTAGTGGAAGGAGATGGTGAGGTGGTATTGAAGGAGGGAGCAGTGTTGCCACCGGAATGGGACATCACGAGGGTAGAAATGACAGCGATAATGATGGGGGTAAGGAACACAAGATGCATGGGGAAGAGGGAAGTTGCAGTGATGTGGGACTTAAGAGGAGTCCTGCAAGCACTGGGAGGAATGGAGGAGGAGGATAATACAGCAGGGATATGGGGAACCCTGGTAAGAGCAGGAAGAGGCATGGAGAAGATAAACTTCATGTGGATACCTGGACACAAGGGGATATACTCCAATGAAGTGATGATGAGGTTGTTAAAGGGGTGGCAGGAGGGAGGGTGATTCCCGGACTGTGGGAGGGGATGGAGTTTAGGACAGGGGAAGGGACAGTAATAAAGGGGATAAAGAAGAAGGAATAGGAGGAGTAGTACAAGGAGGAGGGCTATGATTACTATGAATGGAGACCGGGAGGGAAGAAACACCTCTGGGGGTTAACAAGGCTGGACAGATATGTGCTCATGAGAATAAGGCATAGGAGATTAGAAGAGGACTACCAGGACTGCAAGGGGGGTGATGTACAATTCCACATATTGGAATGTGAGAAGTACAGGGATGAAAGACCGGAGAGGTGGACCTTGTACAAGGATGAACACATTGGGAAGTGGAAGAGGTGGTGGGTGAGGCACGAATACCTTGGGATGGAAATACCATCGAGTGTTCCGGTTGAGATAGGAACAAGGGTAAAATATGGGAACCCATTTGACCACACATTAATGGTGGAAAGGAATGGGATAGATGTGGTGGTACCAATAGGAAGAGGGTTGTGTAGGAAATGCAACAAGTCCCATGGGGGGAAATGCATGTTCTAAATGGGAATAAATAAAGGGAGATTCTTTTTTGTGGGCAGGAACAAGGCCAGGTGCGATATTTGCTTAGGGGAATTTAACGGGGGAAGCAATAAGAGGCCGGATGGGTCGGGGCTGAGAGCGCACCTGTGGAGACAGAGGGATTGTGGTGAGGCGGTGGCAGAGGATTATTGGAGAAGGATGTGGGAGGAGTGGAACTGGATGAGTGAGGAGAGGTGGCATCAAATTGCATTGAAGTAGAGGGATATTTGTTGGGCTAAAGGGGCCAGAGCTTGTATGTATTGCAAAGGGATATACCAGTCTCAGGGGACGAGAAGGAAGCATTGGAGGACGGAGAGGAAATGCTGGATGAGAATGGCGAATGATATGTGGTGGGAGATAGGGTTGGAGAAGAGAGGGGAGAGATACTGCAGCAGGTCTGTGGCATAAGGGTTTTGATTTGAAAATTTGTTTTGTTTGTTTTGATTGTTTTGTTGGTTTGTTGTTTTTTGAGTTGGGTTGGCTTACCTCATGGAACGTAATGCCTTGGGATAGAGAGCCTGATGGAATGCTTCCCTCTAGTTAGAAAATTTATTATATTTACTTCCGTCGCTCGGAATTAGAGAACTACCAGCCCCAGCCTCGGCGCCAAGGCTCGGTCGTTGTCGTTATCTTATACTGCATGCAAAACCTCCCTACTTGCAAATAACTTGGACCAAATTGTTCGTGATTTTGGGGAAGCCGAGGTCGGACGCGGGTGGCCCTAGTTACGGACAGCATACATTTCACCCTTCATATCCCGGCATCCCCCTCTCTCTTCAACAACAAACACCGAACACCTCCTTCCCATGGCATTTGAACCCCCTTCTTCAACTGCATTGTCGACTACAACTGCCACCAATGCCCCATCACTAGCAGCAGCACCATCGTCAAATACATCACCTCCCTCACCACCAGCATCGTCATTGTCAACAACTTCTGGCTTTAGCTACCCGTTTGCTGCTGCGCCCGACATAAGTAATATCTCGCTCTGCCCAATTAATCCATTCCATAAACTTTGTAAAGTACTGACGGGACATCCTCAGTCCGATCGAACCAAAAAGATGCCTACTACCAAGGCGTTCTCCTGGAACAACTGTCAACAATTCTCCGCAAAATATATGGTATCATAGCCGTCCATTCCCCCCCTGCCCTAATTCGTTTCCCACCGAATCAAATCCGAACAGCAAAACTAACCCTCATCAACAAATAGGAGCCCGTATCCTACACAAGTACAGTCTCGAGACAAAGACGTTTACTGACCTACTCTACCTCTCCCTCACAACACTCCGTAATGCCCGCACCCTCGGCGAGGAGTACTGCGACATCCTACACGTCGAGTCCTCAACTTCAAAATTACCCGCGCTACGATGCCGTCTAGGGTTTATCCTGACAACCATTCTTGTCCCCTACTTCATGACAAAGTCCCTCCCACCCCTCCGCTCGCGATTACGCCAGAAGCTCCAATCCTCACTCTCTGTCCAACAGTCGGACCCAAAACCATCCACCTACGCCGCCACTATAAAAACCTACCTCCTGGAAAACCTGGACACCCTAGCTTCCAGCGAAAACCTCCTAGCCGTGCACTTGGGCCTCTTCTACTTCACGGGCGCCTACTACCACCTATCAAAGCGTATCTGGGGCATCCGCTATATCTTCACGAAGCGGCTCCTTCCACACGAGCAGCGGGTCGGATACGAGGTACTCGGACTCCTTCTATTGGCACAATTAGTCACGCAGGGCTGCTTTCACGTCTCTTCCACATTTTCCCGCCCTTCAGCAGTCGTTCCAGAGGGGGAAAGCGTGAACCCGCTCACAGCCGGACCGACCAGGGGATTCGCGACGAATCCCGGTATGCACGCTTCTGATCTAGGTCAAGGTGGGCCGAAGTATGACCTCAAAGACGAGAAGGTTATGAGATTTATGAGTGGGGATTCAGGCAGGAAGTGTACACTTTGTCTAGAGAGTATGAAGGACCCTACAGCAACGGGTTGCGGGCATGTGTTTTGTTGGAGTTGCATTAGCGAGTGGTGTCGTAGTAAGGTATATATATACGCCCCCTTGATGGCAACCAGTAGGATTGTGCTGATAACTTGGACAGCCTGAGTGTCCTTTGTGCAGACAATCTACGCTTGTGCAGCATTTACTCCCGCTGAGGTGCTGATGTCTCTGATATCCTTGCCTAGGGATGTTTTTTCCCCTCTTTTTCACCGAATAATTATGTAGTGGTGGGTTTGATTGACAGGAACATCGTTTTTTTCAAAAGAATGGGATGGGATGAGATGGGAAATGCCTTAGATATATCTCTCTCGGGGTTTCTCTATATATTTTGGGGAGACGCTACTTGTATCACAGCTCTTATCGTTGCCATGATTACCACCGTCTTCCAGTTCGGGTCTGGAGTCCCTTTTCTTTCCTTTTCCTTTTCCTATTTTCCGCTTGCGTTGTTTCTCCTGGCGTGAAGAAGGTTACGGAACGCATCTGAATAGCAGAAATCAGCCAGTAATTTATATAATATACAGGGCAGTAATCAGTTATTATAAAAACAGACTTCGTTAATAAGAGCGGTAAATCATAAAGCGCTTTTTTATCCGCTAGATATATCACAAACCAACCCGAAAAAGGACCTCCTTCTGTTTCCCCTTCTTCTTCCTCCCCCCGCCCCCACTTCCATTCCCCTCCACATCACTAACCTCCGCAAACCCAACTCCGCTCCCAGTCCCAGCACTTCTTCCCCAAGGGTCAACCGTGGGCGCCGGTGCACCATGTTCCCGCCGCTTAATGGGCCCCCAACCAGGCGGTGGTGGGGGCTTGGTTGGCAAAGAGGGGAAGTCCTCCCTTCTAGTCGTGGATATGTTGCTTTGGATAGTGGAGGAGGAGGCTGTAGGGGGGCCGGAAGGAGCGACCCATGGTGTTGGCGCGTGTGCGCCCGGGCCAGAGCGGTTCACTGAGAGGGGTGGGGTCCGGGAGGTAGATTGCAATTGTGATGGAAGGGGGGGAGGAGGAGCCGCGGCCGCCGAGCCCCAGGCGCCCTGGCGAGCGGTGGTGCTACGAGCTGAATGGGAAGTTGATGATTTTAATTTCAAGACGCAGGAGGAGGAGGGTTGGGTTGGGTCGGAGGAAGAGATGCCGGATGAGGCACCGGCGAAGGGGGGGTAGTCTTCGTTCTATTTGATGTTAGTTTTAGGGAAAGAGGCGGGAAGGGGGAAGAGGGTTTTATACAATCGCCTTCCAGTTATTCCATGCTTTTAGGAGGCCTTGCTTTTTTCCTTCGTCATCATAGAGGTCTGCAAGTTCTTTGATCAGTTTTCCAAGGTCCGGGGCTTTGACGTCAAAGAGAGACCAGAACTGCTTTAGTTAGTCATTGATACAAACGGGAACTAGAGAAGAGTAGATACCAGTTCGACGAGCTCTCCTGCAGAGATTTTGTCCTGACGATAGGAACTCACATGGCCTTTGAAGGAGTCGAACTTGGACTGGTTGTAGCGGAGCATAGTGTTTGCGCGCTCTATTACCGCACCATGGTGACTGAATGTATTTCGTTGGCTATAAATTTTAAGAATAAAGGAAAGGGCTAACTTACACCCTCCGATTATCGCCAGTTATCGGCCCGCCCATACCGGGGGAGGGTTCCGCCTGCGCTCTAGGAGCGGCCAATGGCGGGAACGCAGCTTCCGCAGTGGAGGTGTCAGCCGGCCGAGGCGGTGGTCTAGGTGGCGGTGTGGACACACTCATTCCATCAGCCTGGGCAGAAGGTCGAGTGATACTTGAAGGTGGTTGCGCCGGGGCTCTCGCAGTTGCTTGCGCAGAAGGCCTAATCACGGGTGGTGGTTCGGTCAATTGTCCGCCGAATATTCTCGGAGTGGTAGATTGAGCGCCCTGGACCGCGAGGGTTCTATAGTATGCTAATTCCGCTCGGCTCATTTGTTGCTCTGTCCGGATTGGCTCCTCCATTTCCACTCTACCACTACCGCGACCATGGCCGCCGCCCCCATCTCGGCGGTTTTGGCTGTGGTGGGACCTGTCTTCCAGTGTTCTCATATCTATTCTCCTTGCATCTCGTAGTGCGCCTTTCGATAACAGGCTGGGGTGGACTTCAAGTTGGTGAGCTTTTAGGTCCATCTCACTGTCAAACACGACGAACTTTTTATCCAGACACCCCTGCTCCCCGCACATAAAATGATCGTTACTGAAGTGGACTACTAACGAATCATAATCGGCGTAATATTGCTGCTGGGTGCTGGGATTTGTGCGATCACAGAGAAAGCAGCGTTCGTGTTTCTCCCTGCAATGCACATAGAGTTCGTCCGAAGAGTAAAAACGCTGACGACAGAAGGCGCACTCCGGATGGCCTTTAAAACCGCTTTGGTTCTCGCTGCCGGGTTGGTCGTCTCCGACACGTTCGTGCTTGCGGAGCTCTTGCGCGGTGAAAAGTGTATGTTCGTGGGTAAAAACTTTCTTGCTCCGGGAGCAGAGGTCACTATGGTTTGTTAATAGTCGTAAAATGGAGAATTGAGGGTTTGGTGTACCATAAAACACGGCTGTGTGCCACCCTGACGTGATAGTAGAGGTCTGGCCATCCTCGACAGGCGCGGTCACAGCTGGGATCGGGGCAATTGTAACGCAATAGCAATGTTGTCTCGTCTAGAATAGTCTGGTTCTCGAATTTCACTCCCAGAGCGTCGTTCCTATCAATGATTTCCTCGTCTTTGAATTCCTGAAACCTTTTGCTATCTGTATTGGAGAAAATGACCCATTCCGATTCGGTCTACAGAGATATTAGCCCAAAGCCAACCCAGCAGAGCACGACGATCGGACACCCACCCTGCAATGAGCACACGCTTTGTTCTTATACAACGCCCTCATCCGAAGTGCACATATGTGGCATGTAACATGGTTACAAGGTGCGATGGAAGAAAACTGCACCGGGTCCGCACAGATAAAGCAAACAGAGGAATCTGGGTCTGAAGCAGCATCGTCCGCATCCGGCCTAATCTCCCCTCTGGCTGTCATTGAAGCTCGAATAAGATCCGCTTGGATTTGTCTGTCAACTGGTTGATCCGATGCTCGAGGGGGCTGACGTCCAATTCTTCCATTTCTCCATCCCCTTCTACCCCCGCGAGATCCACCATCTAGCGTACTATCGACCCTATTCTCATTCCTACTCCTACTCCTACCTCCTCTGGTTCCTCTACCTCGCCCCCTACTACCTCCTTGGGGAGTATCGGCCAGGGTTTGGTTTTGGATGGGTACCAAGGTGTCAGTACTTGAGGACATTTTTTTGTTATTTGCTCTGAGGACGATGGTGGGACTGAGGCAGTAGTGAAGGCAAAATCGGTGGCGAAAGTATCTTTGCAGCCTGTGGTTGTAGTTGTTTGTGTGATAGAAGAAAATAATTGTGGGTTGTGGAGAGGAGGAAGGAGGGTTGTTGAAATGCACCAGTAGCGGTACTGGCAGCGGAACAAATAGGTTAGGGTCTGCCGACGGGTACAGTACAAAAGTGTGTCATTTGATGACTGCTCTCGAGCAGTCCAGATGCACTGCCCGGGCACCAAGCCACCATGACTCTGACAAGCATACTGGTATTAGTGGTGAGCTAGATGGATTACTCCGGCAGCTTCCACAAATTTGAAACCCACGTCCGGCTGCCATGGCCATACTAGCCGATTTTTAAAGTATCCGGAATTCTGGTAGTATAAGGTATCAGCCCATGGTGTAAGTGGTTCCTTGGCAGACATGTGTCACTTAGGCGGTTGCCATATACTAATCTTCATTGCGTGTAATATTCCTCTCCTCCTACCTACCTACTGCAACCATGATCTCTGCAGGGCATTCAAGGGGTAAGTGAGCAATATCTACTATTTTTAATTAATATGCTAACATTCGAGTTCTTACAGGAAAGGAAATAACACCGTACAGATGTGCAGCGATTATTACCATGCGCGAGCTCGGCTATAAATTTAATGAAATAAAAACGCATACCTGTATTGCTATTTCCACAGCAAGCGATATCCACCGTCACGCAGTAAAGAATGCTACCGCAAAACGACAGGCCACGCTCTCCAGTACTCAGCCAGCAATACCACCTCGTGCTCAGCTAACTGTACCCAGACCAAGGGCCGAGAGTCCGTACTCCCGCCCAGAGTCAAGCCTGCATGAATGGACCCCTGAGTCTGGAGTTTCTGAGAAGAGAGGGCAAGTGGTAGTGGTAGTAGAGAATGAGGAGGCAGCAGAGGAGGCAGCAGAGGAGGCAGCGGAGGAAGAAGTGGAGGAGGCAGTGGAGGAGGTGGCAGTGGAGGAGGTGGTAGCTGAGGAGGTGGTAGCGGAGGTGGTAGTGGAGGAGGCAGCAGTGGAGGAGGTGGTAGCAGAAGAAGTGGTAGCAGAGGAGGAAGAAGAGGAGGAGGAAGAGGAAGCTGGGATAGAGCAGCCAGGAAGGCAGAATATGCCAGCAGGTACTCAGATATACAATAAGAATAATATTTCACAGCTTGAACTGTTATCAAAAGACTGTTTGGATAAGAAATCACGCTCCAGACGACCAAAAGTTTTAACAACTACGGAAATTGATCACCTTATTTCTACGGTAAAGTGGGATTTTCATACTCGATGGATGTGCCTTGTCGATATTCGGAGAGAAGCTGGGTTATCACATGTCAGTGATACTATAGTATGGAAAGCTCTACGGTCCCGCGGTATTAAAGTCTATAAGGAGCTGTTCAAGTTTATTTTGAAGACTGAAAACAAAGTTGTAAGACTCAGATACTGCTTAGAGAGAAAGGACTGGAGCATGGAAGAATGGAAAGATTATGGATTCACTGAAGAGATGTCAATTGAGGTTGGCGGTCTTTTTGGAATAAATCTTGTTTGGTGTGATGAATCAGAAAAGTGGCATGATGACTGTGACAGTTGTGTCAAGAAGCAGGGAGAGAGAGAGATGTGTTGGGGAATGATAGGATGGGGATGGAAGGGTCCTTATTATGTTTGGGAGGTGGAGACTGCGGAGGAAAAAGAGGAGGCTCTTTTAGCTATTACCTTATTGGAGGAAGGACGAGCTATGGAAGAAAAAAAATTGAATGAGGAATGGAAAGCATCAGAAGAGTGGGAACAGCTTCGGGCCTTGAAGCTGACAGCTTTCAGCACTCAACGCTATGCTGAAAAATATCACAATACACCAAAGTAGTGAGTTCCACAAACTCATTGGAGTAAAAAATTCAAACTCGATAAATACAGGTGCGGAGAAGGAAAGGGAGTTGATTCTTGGTGTTATGTGAAGTGTGTGGCACGCCCACTCCTCTGGCCAGCATGCCGAGAGCAGATACAACAGAATGCAAACTTTGTACTTATGGAGGATAATGCACCAGCACATAACTCTATTTTTACTAATGGACAATGAGTAAAGAAAGGGATTCAGAAGCTTGATTGGCCACCTAATTCTCCCGATTTCAACCCTATTGAGCATATCTGGATTTTAATGAAAAGTCAAATTCAAACCCGCCGGGGCCATGAACGTATCACCTCTCAACAACAAATGAAACAAGTTCTTCAGGAGGAATGGGATAGGATATCAATTGATGAAATCAATAAGGAAGTAGCTAAACTACCTAGTATTATGAGTAAATGTATTAATGTATATGGAGGAAATAAATATCATGCTTAACTCAGTGCAGGCTGATAGGATGCTAAGTGGAATGATCTTAGTGGCAATTATCATTAATTAATATAAAGAATATACTGTACTAGGCTGAGATATACTTGGAAGTACCAATTTATTTACTTAATACAATTATCTTTATGGTCAGTAGAGGCTTTGATGGCCTCATATTCTTCTGGTACGAATGGTCTAGGTGACTCATGTATAAGTTGTATTTTGGTTTGACTTGGCGAGTCACCTACATTCCGGAGACTTTAAAAATCGGCTAGTACTGTACCACCGTACTACGATGATCTCGTTTGCCAATCAGAGGTTTTTACATATCTAGTACGGCGCCAGACGGCCTTTGCTACTCCGCAGACTTCGTCGTTCCAACAATTATTATACTTGAGTACGGTACTAGGGGGGGTCTTTGAGACTAGTGGTGATGTAGGGATTACTTGATACAAGTACGATATGGCTGTTATCTTGCCTGGAAGGAAAGTGGCGTTGCAGAAGTCAGAAACCCCGACCTGTTGCTTTGAAGTTACATCCAATTGAGCAAGTGAGAATCAGAGATTAAAGCGAGTTTTCGTTTTCCCAACGAACTTGTATACAGCTAGTCTATTTCTGATTCTCATATTTGTTATTATTATGTTCTCTGGGTGCTATTCCCCCCGTAGTCCATCCTAGTTGCTATTGTCTCGACCAGACATTTTGTTTCCAAATTGGTTAGGGTTTTAGACCCTCGCCCCCAAAGTAAGGATGCCGCCGGCTTGCGAATTTTTAACGAGCCCCCCGAGTACCGGTACAGTACGGTACGGTATGGTTGCGACGGCAACTGTAACACCTCGTAAATTTGTTGCCCTACCTCTTAGTTTCCAGAAATATAACTTTTCCAAGCTCATTATATATTAATATCATCAAATGCTTTATCTTTTTTTACCTACAATTTAACCTTTTACAACATTCTTTACCAATTGACTGGTATATTCTACGGCACCATATGGTTAGTTTCTATTCTTTATTCAGTATATAATTATACTACATATTTCTTAAGTTAGAAGATATAGATTTCTAACTTTAATCAGAATTCAAAAATGGATGAATCAGTCAGTGAGCTGGATTTGCAAAAATAACCAAAACATGAAGTAACAAGAAAACATGTTAGAAAGTTTAGAGCAACTCAGATAAATGGGCCAGCTACTCTACATACTGTAGTAATGACTAGCAAAAAGATATCTTAAAAGTATTATTTGAGGAAGAAGCAACTTGCTCTTATAAATGTTGCCAATCAGGCAACTGATATCGAACCCACTGTAGCTATTATAGTAAAACAGTGTTCCTCACATGATAGAAGATGAAAGTATCGTAAATGTCAGCGACTTTACCACGAATATGTAAAGCCAGATCCACTTACTAGAAGGGAGGTTCATTATGGATGCTATACCAAAAAGTAGCAGTTCAGACTTAGTAGTCATATTAATAGATTAGACAATCAGCAGGGAAAATCACACTTAGATTTAATATTATATATATTTATAGATTACTTAATTAAAGGTAATAGAATCTATTATTATTAAGCAAGCTTATATTAACTGGCCATGACTTGGTAGATCCTTAAAAATAATGAAAGAAGAGATTCTAGAATATGTTTTAAAATGGCTCAAGAAAAAGATTCCAAATTTCCAAAAACAGAAAAGGGCCTCCAGATATATAAATATGCAACTGGATTGGAATATGCAGTTTTATACATTTCTTAAACTTTAACTAAAGGAAGAAAGGCTATGGAAGAGAGCAGAGTTAAATCAGCAACAAACAGAGTAAAGGACAGTGTGGAAATCCTAAAAGGAGCTTGCACACATAGTTGCACAAGCAGGTAGATGTGGTGTATGGGTTATGAGATGAATTCTAAAGCAAGAAGTAGAATTTATTCAGGAGGGAAAACTGGCAGCTTCCAAGCAAGGAAAGCATACAAAAATTGTCAGTTGGTTAACTGATGAGGAGACTATACTTGCAATATAACAGTATATGTTACTTGCTGGTGAAGGTTTATGATCAATACATAGAAGTTTGTTGCAGTTGTAATATATTAATCTTTAATTTTATAATATAGCAATAGATTTAGCAGGACTTGCAAGAGCAGTTACTAATTATTGGTCAGAAACTCATAAAGATATAAAGAAAGCATACTAAATTCTACTAGTTTCTATAGATAGACTTTAGTGGAAAATGAAGTAAGCGTTAAGCAGTCAGTATGCATGGATATGACAAATAAAGTTAGGACGGAATTGGAAAGAATTAAAGAAAGTAATATACTGTAATGATTCTACTCTTTTATTGTTAATTCTTCAACAGGTAATAACCTTACCTATTATTTTTCTCTTGCTATCTCAATAGCTCAGAGAACTCTTATCTTTGCTATCACTTTTGATAATGAAGATTGTCTTGTACTTGCATTACCTCTTGTAAGTGAGATCTCTTTCTCATGTAGTGTTGCGAAAGGTATGTATAAAGTATTGATTTGACTTATAGTATAGGAAAGAACTTAAGTAGTTACATGAGGAGTCTGTACCAGAGGTCTAGTTTTTTTTTATCAATATTTAATCCCTTGTTTAAGGTACAAGAATATCGCATGCAGCGTGAGCTATGACTTTAAGAAAACCTCTCTACTCAGGACCAAGAGAAAACTGGTACCTCCAAGATTCTCTGGTATGGGCCCAACCGTATACACTCCAAGGATGATCAACTGGGGTGTCCAGTCCG